ATTTTTAAAATTAACTTAAAACAATAATGAACGAAAAATACTAGTATTATTGTGAAAAAAAGCGTCAGGCGCTCAATATACAAAAAATATGGCATAAAGCACCCACGCTTTTTTTCACAATAATACTAGTATTTTTCGTTCATTATTGTTTTAAGTTAATTTTAAAAATTATTTTTAACTTTTTAGTTCGATGTGCTTTAAAAGCGTGTTTTTTAGTTTTTTTAAACTATATTTATTTTTCACTTTTTAGTTTCATGTTATGATAGTAGTTAATATCAATATCATGGTTGTAACGGGTAACGGGAAATAAGGGTTCGATTCCGGAGAGGGAGTCTGAGAAACGGCTACCACATCCAAAGAAAGCATCAGGCGCGTAACGTGGAGGTAGTGACGAAAAATAACAATACGAGAATCATCCTCCGTAATCGGAATGAATACACTACATATCTCTTAATGAGAATAAAGTGTATTAATATATAAGTTTTAATAGTAATTAGAATATATATATATTTAAAGGGACTTAAGTACGTAAACGTATCATGCATGAGGTATAGCCGTGTTTATGTGGGCGGGCATGGCGGAGGGAACATTATACACGAGGCATATACGGCAGCAGAGGCGTCGGCTGTAGGAATATATAAATGAATATTAACATATACGTATATACGTACAAATATTAATATATATATATATATATATTAATATTAACGGTGGCGGTAGGAATATATAATCTTCGCATAATATCGCGGCACTTTCGCTGGCATCGACGACGCGTTGTCCGGCGTGTTCCTCGGACGTCAACAGGTTAGCAGCGTTGATAGCGACGGCGCGCGAGTGCGGATCGAATCGTAGACGTTGTCACTTTGACAACGGGAAGAAGACTACGGTATCATTTGCGGCGGAATGTCGTCGGGCGTGCGGCGCTTGCTGGACTTTGCACAGCGGCGTATAACGCGAGGTGTTGGTCAGTCAAATACTCATAATAGGGCGACGGCTGATAAAGGTGGCACGAGTCGTGGGGCATTGTGTATAATGAAACGACGCGGGCCGTGTCAATTACAATAAAAATTTGTTATATATATACATAATTGATGACACGCGCGCGTCTACGGGTTAGAAAATATTGTTGTCTACGAGTGGTGAGCGGGGTGGGGCGAATGCTTTACAACAGTATAGTCTCAAGGTCATACACGACGGGATACGCGACATAATAACACGTGCCGCGTGGAGTTACAAACTAACAAACGACAAACAAACAACAAACAACAAACATACACGTGAAACTAATATAAGCGTGTTAAAAAAATAAGAATTACAAGATAAGGAATTATATATTAAAGTAACAATATATATATAAACTATCATAGAATTATGGATGGGGGGGTCACTTAATACTAAAATGGCCAACAGGGTATCTCTGAACAAAATAGATAAAATATAATATAATAATTACAAACAAATAAAAACTTAACTGTGTAACGTACAATAGATGAAAGATGACTGATGACGGTGAAAATGAACAGTTGGAATACTTTACATTAAAATGTTGAAGACTACAAAGGTAGTCGATACAAACGGAGGCACTTGTTATGTACACGAAGGACGCACAATGGCATAGACTGGTATAGCAATTCTATACCCACGACGAATCACCAGGGTGGTTAATCCATTAAAACGACTATGAGCTATATGCACTATAGAACCACGTAGCAAGGACTAGCAATGGTGGCGAGAACGCAAAATTCACAAAAGGGACCGATAATAGTTCGGCGAGACAAAATAATCACGTACGTGAGTATCCAACACAATGAATCGCTCACACAACCGGTGGTGGTAGTGCGAGAGACGTTATCAGTCATAGAAATACGATGTAGCAAAACGCCCTCTCGTAATGCGTACCCAACACCGAGTCTCACTGACTTCAAGTTAGAGATGTGTCGTTCGCGAACGAACGGATCGCATTGAACGGGTCAAAATAGTGAACGAAATGATTCAGATCGCCGAACCGTACTAATCCGGATCCCCCAAATACACAATGTTTTCCCGTATGGATCACACTGAACCGATTCGATCGCTTACCAAATATCAATGATAACATGATAACTTATAATCATAATCATCGTGGGGATCCCACCTTTGCCACNTTAAACGGGATCCCACCTTTGCCACGAACTGATGATGCTCCGACATTTACATACTTCGACATTTGACAAAGTAGTAATTATTACGAACATCTGGTACTCCGACTATCTGATGCCATAGATAACCATAACCACGACGGATTTTACTCCGACATTTAATAAAAAATAAAATGTGGTAATAACTCCGACATTATCGATAGTTTGATTATGCATCGAAAGTTATATTATATTTCGATTGCATTGTTAGTAATAGGGCGAATTGATCGTATATGTTGCAACGTCAGGGTCACGTGGCTACAGAAACACTACATTATTAAATTAATTATATTATTATTAATAATATTGTAAAATTTAAATTAAAATGTTCTATTCAATTAGCATTTATTTGCTACTATAGTTATTATACAATAATATACATTTTGCTTATTATTTTCTGGTACAATTTCTCACATTTGACATATGTTATTAATACTCGAATGATAATAGTCATTCATTAAGTAACATAAAATTAATAGTGTTTAATACAAATGTACATTTTTGAAAAAGTTTTCTCTATTGTTAGAATATATATTTATCTTTGAGAATTTTATTTTTTAATTATCCAATAATTACAAAATATTTTCATCAAATCAAAAAACTGTTAGTTAACTGTTTTTTCAGTCGATCCACAAAATTTTATCTAACAGTAACTTATTTTTTAACATCTAAGAGATCCATTTGAAAACTAATTTTTCTATAACAAATATGTGCTGTAAAAATTGTCTTGTGCAATTTTATTAGTGATTAATTCCTAAGTGTGTAATATTAAAAAATAATAACTAATATAACACATAAAATTGTTTGTACAATATAAAATCATTCTTGGGGATGTCTGGATTTTTTCCTGTGCTGCATTAGGATATCTAAGTATAAAATGACACAGTATATCCAACTTCTATGCAATAATTGTTGAACACATTTTTTTTAGTCTTATTACTTTTTGGAAGTTTTTTCCAATAGGTTTTTATAGACTCAGAAGAGTATGATTAATTTTTCTTTCAGCAATTTTAATTGAAAATTAATTACTAAAATTATTTTTAACTTATATTAAAAAAAATTAAAATAGTATTAAACTGTGTAAGTTTTGCTACAAGTCTAATATGAGTTATGCTAAGAATTAGTAAGTTTTGGTTATATATAAGTAGAATTAATTTTTTCTTATTTAAAAATTCTGTGTGTCATCTAAAATTAAAAATATATTAACTCATCGTTAAAAAAATTTAATTTTGTGACATGAGTTTTATAATCAATGTTAAATTATAAGTAAAACCATTATAATCTCCAGTGGTGTTCAAAAAAAAGTTAAAAATATTAATGAGTAAAAAATTATTTATTTAAAGTTCTTTTTGTTTAAAATCTAATATACATTTATTGAAATCAGTTTAATATTTCCTTGAAAAAAATATCTGAATAGCCTTTCCTTTTTTTAATAATAATTAAATTTTCTCAGTGGTCCAGTGAGAAAAAAAAATTCTTAAATTTAATGAGAAAAAATGAATAACTGTTTAATTATAAATCATGATTATAAATTAAAATATTTAACTCTATACGTATATTTGACAAAACTTCAAATAATCATAATGCAAATGAAAAAAAACTGAACCATTATTTAATGAATTGACTGCATATTTTTAATCGAGTTAGTTAAGTTTAAAACCAATTTACTTAGCAGAAGATTTTTGTAAGTTTATGATAAATCATAAACTATTGTCCACTGTTAACTTATAACTGCCTTGTGTTTACTTAATTTGACTAGAGCGTAGGAGTATTGCAACAAAATATTTGGGAACTCTAATTACATAATTTTTTACCTAATCTAAAAAAATATTTCTATACAACAAGAAATACAAATTAATTCATTTTCGGTATAGTCTATGGCAGAATTTTAGGAGACAAAGCCCCCTCAAGTCTCTCCAGATTGCGGTCAAATCCAAACTGGACTGAATTAATTTCGTTACCCACCTTTGAACAATGAAATGATATTAAATCATATTTTTGTTTGATTTCATATGAAACTAATTGTAATGACAGTTTTAGAGAATGGGATACCGAATATCTTTATAAACGCATCTGTTTAATAACGAATACTATCATCATAAAAACGTACCTCTATATTTTTTAACTAAACTAATTGAATGTTATAATATTAATGTGCTTACAAAGTTATAATAAGCACTAATAAGGAGAGGTAAAAAAGATTTTACGTCTGAAAATTGGAATCGCTCTTCTTTCACTTTCAAAAAAAAATTTAAGGGCTCACACCAGTTACGTTGCCTTCATGTACCTATTTTATCAAAAGTCGGATACATTTCGGGGATCTTTATTGTAATAATTATTCGTTAATAGACAGTAATCAATTATAACGCTATTTTATTATATTAATTAATATTTATTAATTAGTGATAAGGGTTATATTTTTCCATCAGATAATATATTGCTACGATATTCATCTACTCCGAAATTTGATAATTTTTTAATCGATTTCGCGAATAATCGATATTTGGAGTTAATTTCATTCGGAGCAATCAATTAATAGTTCTATTCGGAGTATTCGTCGTCGTAGTAACATCCAAATTTTTATAACCAGGTATTCGTAGTAATTGTTGTCGGAGTAAATGTATTCGGAGGATTTTTTTTCAGTGTCGGAGTAAATGAATGTCGGGGCATCATCAGTTCGTGGCAATCTCCGGAACCCATCATCGTGCAATGTAAAATGTTACTGTTTTGTTTTATTTTGTTAGATTTATAGCTTATATATATTTTTATACAAGTCTAAAATGTATAATATATAAATGCTTAATGTAAAAACTTGTTTTGCGATTTATTGATTCTTGTTATTATTATTGTTATATTTCTTATTTTAATTATTTTATTACTACATGGGAAAAATCAAAATTAAAAGATATTTTTTCCAACTGGACTACTAATTTATACAAATGCAATTAATTAAATATTTTCTTTATATATTGTGATTAATAAATAATATTTGTGAAATTTTAGATGTTGAGAGTCTACTTCTTTTTTTGCTAATAACTTGGCCTGCTTTAGAAAATATTCTCTCGCAAGGTACTGATGTTGCCATAATACAAAGTCTCCTTTTCACAAGCTCATACAATCTTGGGTACACTTTTTTTCGCTCAGCCCACCAAACCAAAGGATTTTCAGTTCGACTAATTAATGGTTCATTCAAATATTTGTCAACTTCAATAATACCTGCTGCTGATGAGTTAGATCCTCCGATTAAATTTACTGCAGTTTCATCAAACTCTTTCCACAGTGCTGAACTTGAATTTATTGTAGATGACAATGTAGTAGCAGTATGTTTTGATATTAGCACTTCTGGTTCTATTATTATACTTTGTGCTTTCGCCTTTAAAAAACTAACTGCAGCATGACAATTATTTTTATTGGAGAATGTAAATTTTTTGAACCTTGGATCCAATAAAGTAGCTTGAGAAATTAACATGTTCTCTTCAATTTTACCAAATCTTGAAAACAATTCGCTCTTTAATGTCATAGCCATTGAATTGATTTCTTTTGGTAATGTATTTATAGTAATGTAATTTAAAATAAACTTATTTAATGTTTTAATAAAAATTATTTCTTTTGATAACGTAACATATTTTTCAGCACTTATTTCTATAGTAACTTCATAAAATATTTTCAAAATGTCCCGGGCGTTTTCCAATATAATCCATTCTTCTGCACATAAAAAGTTTAACTCTGAACTCCTAATACTGCTAGAGTAGCAATAATCGGTTCTTTGATTTCAACTATTCGATTTATCATTTCATATGTAGAATTCCAACGTGTTGGGCAGTCTTGTTTCAGTTTTAAAATAGGTAAACCAATTTGTTTTTGAAAATCATTTAATTTTGCCAAGGCATGCGAACTTTTTTTAAAGTATTGTACAATGTTTTTTACTTTTGTTATTGTAAGCTCTATGCATTTTAAACTAGTTTGGACTGTTAAGTTTATTGAATGTGCAAAGCAAGGCAGCCATCTCCAGTTACACTTTCTAATAGCTGCTTTAATATTAGCAGCATTATCAGTTATTACAACAGTAAGTTTATTTGATAAATTCCATTCATTAATAATGTTACTTAAAAAAAAAGCCAAATTATCACCTGTGTGTTTTTCATCAAAATCATTACAGCCTAACAGTACAGATGAAATTAATGTTTCGTCTTGTGGATCAATAAAATGTGCTGTTATTGATATAAAACTCTGATTGTTCCTCGAAGTCCATCCATCTGTGGTCAAACATACTGCTGCTACATTTTTTAATGTATCCTTCACACTTTCAACAGTTACCTCAAACAGCTGAGGCATCAAACTTTGGGTTACTGTTTTTCTTGATGGAATAATGTAGGATGGACATAACATTTTAATTAACTTTTGAAATTCTACATCCTCTACAATACTAAATGGATGATACTCCTTAACAATCATCTTCACAAGTTGTTGATCAATTATCTTTGATTTGCTCATTGGTATCGGCTTTTGGATAAAGTTTGCTATAGAAGTTTGGTGTTTGTTTTGTGTTTTAAACATTGGTGGATATGTTGTTGCTACTGAAAATGATTGTTGTCCAGTTGGAGTATGATTTGTGGATTTTGAAGGTTGTGAATCATCAATTATATCAGAGTTTGATACATTTTCCTATAATTTAAAATCATTATAAGTAACCATGTCTGATAATTGGGGGGGAATGGGACTATATTTCCACGGGTCACATTCTAGAAAACTTTCAAGGAGATCCTTCTTAGATTCCAGAATAATAAGGATTACTTGGGTATTACCTATTAACAGAGAGGCCCCCAAATTAATTTGTCCTAGAACCCCAAAAAATCCTTAGGATAGCCCTGTTAGTAACACTTGGTTCATTTATTATTTGAATTTAATTTTCATTATTCAAAATTTTAAAACTATAATGAAAAAGTTAACTTATTTGATAAAGAAATATTAATATAGAAGTACTTTCATGTTATTATTTATTAAATTTAATTAAATGAATACTTAACCTGAATATTTCTCTGTAGTAGAACTGTTGGATGTTTTGTTTTCAAATGCCTTAACAAATTTCCTGTGGATCCTCCACTAAAACTTATTTTATCATAACAAATATTGCATTTTGCTATATTATTTAGTATAATTGAATAATGGTACCATACATTGCTACGTTTTTTATTTAATCCCATACTATTAATTTTTGAAGAAGACAACATAGTTTAGTTGTACTACTAATACTTAATATTTGTAGCAAAATTCAAATTTTGTTTAGTAAATATTAATACTTTATAATAAGATTACTTTGGAATCCCAATAAAAAAAGAAAAAAAATTATAGTTGTTGTATTTAATTTATAAATTAAAATTTTTTTTGTATTCAAATCTTAAAAATTAAAATTGTTGAGCATTATTCAATTATGAGGACATATCAAAACATCAGTGATAAACAACAACATAATGTAACAATATAGACTAGAAGTGCTATAAAATGAAATGTTTACTTTTAATAAAAACATGTTATGTCTTGTGAATGATCATTATTAACATGTCCTGACTAGAATAATAACCCTGGATTCTAATTTTTCTCTACAATTACCAAAAGCAGGGACAGTTTTTTCATTAATCTTATTTAATGTATTATGATTTTAAATAATATTCAATCTATATTGAATTATCTTTTCTTAATCTAGTAGCTTAACATATTGAACTTTACAGGAAGTTAACATTTAATAACAAATATTTGTATTGATATACATTATTTATTAAAGTAAATAATAATAGTCTTAGTAAATTCAAGTATTTAAGATACATATAAAATTAATTTATAATTTATAATTTAAAATACATTTTACTTTTATTAGAACAATCAATAATTTATAATAATAATGCATTAAATTCGCATATAAACCGTGCGACAATTACAAGTACATGTATACAAAATGTGTTCATTTTCTTTAAGAAACTACTTGTATTGAGTGTTGAGATATCGAATAAAATATTAACTGCATTAAATTTCTTTAAAAAAGATATAATTTCATGAACATCTTATATATTTTTTATTGATGTGTAGACTAGATGCATATAGAGTAAATACAGGTGCGCAAAGGGGGGTTTGTTTTTTGGTGGGAGTAAACATTTTAAATATACACCAGTAAAGTTATAACCACCAGCGTTACATACCCACTCCATATATTAAAACTCAAAAGTTATTATCGACCTATCAACATTTTATTTAAAAAGAGTACTAAAGAATGGCGTTTTGAATATTTTTAAAAATTTAAAAATTAAAAAAAAATATATATATATTTTTTCTTATTGGAAAAAAAAATAATAAATATGTTTTAAACATAGTCCAAAACCTCAATAATTATAAAATAAAAATAAGTATTGAAAACATCTAAAGTTATTGAATTTGTCATATCATCATGACTCCACCAATATATATTATTAACCTTAAACAAAAATCATACAAGTATGAGGCTATCAAGTATCTATTCATAGCTATTTGTTCATACGACACATCCCTAATCCGAATCCCGAATCGTACATGCGATTCGAGAACCATAAAAGAACCAAAACTATACTGAATGTTCGATTCAGTTGACTCAAAATATCTTTTAAATCGCGAACGGGTCTTTGAACCGGATCTTCTAGATGACCTGATTCGAATGAATCGAATCACTTAGGTGAACCGTAATTCCCATCTCTACTTCAAGTTAGGCAGTTGGTCACCCGGTCCGAACTATCTGTCTCTATGTTCACCGACACAATTAAGACTTCGTATAACTTTACTTTGTTATTTATTTATTTTTTAACTCTAATTGAGTATTCTACTACTATTCTATAATATTCAAAATATGTTGGTAACATGTTGTTTAATAAATCATATCTAAAAAAAAACATAATTTTATATTTCACGTGAATTTAACAATGGATTTTTACAATTATAATCAATATTTATAACACGTTCAATTGAGTAAATTTTTCAACATTTCTTACATTGTTCATTTGTTATTTTGAAGCGAAACTATGAAGGTCTTAGTCTTGTGATGCTGTAATTAACTAAAGAATTTGTATTGGTTTCAGAATTTTCAATCTAATATATTAGAAAAGAGACGATTCTAAGTGTTTCTATTTTTATTTATCCTTATGTGGTTTAAATAATTAATATTAAAAAAAATTTTATTGACTACTAGCGGCTAAATTTTTTACTAAATATATTAATAATATTAATAAACTTAAATATATTAATCAAATGCAACATCACAAAAAAACCTAAAAATCAACCGATGTATATTTTAAAAACATTAAGATTGGCATTAAGTTTGACATGAAAAGTATCAAAACAATAAGATAATTGTTATTTTTAGAAAATAATTTTGTAATAGATATTTAGTACTTATACTTTTATTTTATTTATATTTTTATAATGATGATTTTTCTAATAAAGCACATTATTATGAAAAATTATAGATATAAAACACTAATACAAATATAAAACATTAAGTCTCTCCCTCATAAAACTGGCCTATAAAAGAGCAATTTCTAGCTCATTTACCACCTGCCCGAGTAGCATTATTTTGGTTCACGGTCGGTTCAAGCGACCCACGAGTGCTGGGAGAGTTCAATGTTCAATAATGAACCGTGTAATTTTTTATAAGTTCCAGGAAAGTTCAACGTTCAATAAATAACCGAACAATTGTTCGTGTTAAAAAAAGTGCTGGAACCGTCCAATGTTCAAAATAATCGTACGGATTCACCAAAGTTCTTTCATTATAATGAAAGAATCGTTATAACGGTTATAGCCATTCAAATAATTTTATTCACTTATATTGTTATTAGACATATTATCCCTTGATTAGTACATTAATAAAAAAACTTTAAAATAATAGTTAAAAAATGTTTTCATTGAGACTATAGCGCGAATTTAACGTATGAACTTTTGGCGGAATAACCAGACGTATCAGTAACCGTTGACCAACAGTTTTAATTCGCGCGATTTTTATTTGTTATTTAATTTTTACTGTGACATTTTTTTAAATCATCAACAATTGTTTTACTCTTTTTACAAATTATGTTTTTCGAGACATTCGCCATTTTCACAGCGACTAGATAACTTGTCAAGACTGCTATTTTTTCCTGTTCACTCTCACATATATATTTAAATGAAAAGTTCAATAAAATGTAAGTACATTTAATTTAAATTTAGGAGTAAAATAATAAATAGTTATTTTAATTCATTTTAATAATAGCATATATTATTTTTTAAAAATAATCATACATTTTAGTAACTACATTTATTGTAATTGTAATAGATACATGTGGTAAATTATATATTAAATTTTCGCATTTTGTATTATGATTAATTATAATTATAATACAAAATTATTTCTTTTAATAAAGTACTATCGTTAGTTATGTTGTTATTAAGTTATTAACGAACACCTCAAGATTTTCCATGAGCTTAAAATGTTGAACATTTTTAATCATACATCATTGTCGTTATAATCATATCCTTAGCCTTTATCCCAATTTTTGGGGTCAGCTCTAGCTTATTTTAAATCGTCTTATTTATTGATTTTTATTCATACATGTGATACAAATTACTTCTTTATTTCAATATTTAAAATGGTGCATTTTATATATTTCTCAACATTGTATACATTCAAATACCATCTCTTAAAAAACTGTTGATTTTTAATGAAAATCCCTCCATTGTGCTACTCAATAATTTAAAATTTTCAAACATTTTAAGTTAAAAAGAATTGCATCTATTTGAATGAGAATTATATTTCAATACTTCAAATTTTAAATAAATGAAAAGTATTAAGTTTAAGGTTTTCACCGTTAAACAATTAACAGGGTTTTACATTTGGCTCATTTTTGTAGTTATTTGTAACCTTTATACTATTAAATTAACAAGATTTTTATACAAATCAACCAATAAATGACACATTTTAATCTATGAAGAACAGGCTTACATGTAACCTAAATAATTTTAAGATATAAATAAAACTATTCACAGTAGTTTCCCTTAAACAAAAAACAAATCTATATACCTAGGTTGTCTAAAATACCCAATATCCAAAACACAATTATTTTATAACTTAAATAATAACAAAAAAATAAAATACTTCTTATGAAATATCATGTCAAGTTTACTTCACTATATCAAATAGTTACAATAAATAATTGTTGATAGATATCATGCTTTTTAATTTCCAATATTTAAAATATATGTCTTTTAAATAAGTATAATAAATATTTTACAAAGCATAGTCATGTACTTGATCAAACATTTGAATACTGTAACACTAAAAAGTTAATTTCTATACAGTTTATTAAATGAACTTTATGTGTTGGCACTTAATAGTAAATTGATATAACTCAATAAACATTTTTGAACATTGAGTTCATATTAACCGGAAGTGCAATAACTAATAATAATTTATAATTTACACAAAAATATTTGAACTCCCTATATTTTTTTTCTCCAGAAATCTGAATAAATATCTATTGACTTTTATGACTTTAAATTAATTAAAACTTTATAATCTTTTGTATTAAAATATGTTTATTTAAAATAATAAAAAATTATAAATATAGTATATTTACTATTATATAATAGTAAATTATAAAAATTTTTATACCCAAAGCATAGTTGTCAATTATTTGTAATAGGTATATTACTTTAAATAAAATTATTCTTAGGGAGCATGTTTTATTTAACTTGAAAGGTCGTTCTATTGAAGTATTCTTATTTACCTCTTATTTATATTATCTGGGATACAATTACTAGAGCTTATATTAATACTGGTAAAATACCAACTACTTAAATAATGATTAAACTATAATTGTAACATTGTATATTCATAAAAATATAATAATATTATTATTTTTATGAATATATATATGATTTAATTTATTGGAATTGATGAGTAATTTTTATTTTATTTTCAAACAAATTTTTTGTTGCTTTAAGTGGCTACCATTAAAAATTTTAGTGCATATACGAGAACAGTATTTGATTTTTGTATGACAAGAGAAATGGCCGCAAATTTTAGTTTTTGTAGCAACACTAAACAAGCTTTTCATAACCTTCACATTTTTAAAGTACTTCGTGGTATGAACATTAAACTGTAATAAAAATGCAAATTGAATATGTTGATATATTGATAGCGCGTTAGTAAATCGAACTAAGTCTGGAAGACTAATTTTGAAACTTTTTAATTTATACTACATTTTTCATAGAAAATTTCTTTGAATGATTTTGGGGTGTCGTGTGTACATATCACGCTATGTTGGTTA